TAATACGTATTATTAGTAACTAAGAGATAATAATATTTTCTCGCAATATCTAATTTCCTAACCTATAACAAATATGCGATTCGTGTGTGCTTACCTACGTACGAACGAAACTATCGTTTACTTCTATATTTCGTCAAACTGGATCGGAAGAAAATCACTGGCGATAGAACAAAGATGAACAAAGATCCGCGAAATCACAAACTGAATCTAATTTTATCGTTTTACAATTCACGAATCACCTTTTGAAGAAGACTAACGCGAGCGAGGTTCGCGTGCGAGGTTCGTGAATCTATTTGAACGCATGCGCGTCAGCGGGCCAATCACCGAACTCATCGCACTTCAGATAATCATAGGAGACGCGCGAATTTCGAATGAATATAGGAACACGGCGTAACTTTACCATGGTCGACGTGTAATGGGAGCGCGAGCTTCCCACGCGACCAGATGTGTTCCTGCGTGGCGTGTTGCATGGCGATCAACACAAACAACGATCCATGTATGCCGTGACGCGAGCCTCCGTGTTCGTTCCCTCTGTTCTTTCCATAGTTCTACTCGGCTGTCCCTCTCCTTCCCCTCTATCGTCGATTGCCTACCGGCTAAGCTGTCCTCGTTGTCCTCCTCTCGCGTTGCTTTTTGTTCCTTCTGCGTCGTGAAACGAATGGCAAGTTCATAGGTGAGATTTTGTTATCTCTACGGTTAATCGAAAGGTATGATTTCGCGATCAGGTGACTACTGTTTGAAATTAAATCAAATTAAATTGAATTGATTGTGAAAGGATTAAATAACCGTGTCATTTGGAATATTACTCGTTCCAAGGAATAATTCTAAAGAAAATTTCCATCGATAAAATCAATATAAATATCCATAATATTATAATATCGCACAGAATAAAGAAAAGAAAAATATTAAATATTAGAGAAGTCCGATATTATCGTATGTTTGATGATCTCGACGATCGATATCCATCAGACGTATATATATATATATATATACATTTTCCACCATATTTCACGTAACATCCCGAACCCAACCAGAAACGAAGATGGACATCCCAATAAGAATCCTCGATAAAAATCGCGGAAAAAGCCCACCCATCTTTCCCCATTCATCGTATCCACAGTTCCTGTTTCTCTGTGCAAGAACCCTCTTAGATTCCCCCTTAGATGCATCCTCGAAGAGACACAGGTGTGTCCGTGAAACGGGGCGCGCTTTCCTGTCCGCCAGGATCCAAGGCGATTGAAACACCATCGGGGCTCGCCTATTAATCAGCATCGCATACTTTTTCCCCCTCCCCCTCCCCCGTCGAAAGGTCCGCCAGGTACAAATGCCAGCTGGTACGTATAACTGTCGATACAAAGAGGTACAAAGGATCGGCGGCGCGCGATACCGCGCGTAAGAATAAAGATCAAAGCGAAACGGTCGCGCATCTGCATTCCGCGGGGATATAAGGTCGGTTCTCCGCTCGACGCGGGAGACACGACGAGCGCAGGTGTCTCTAATTGGTTATTTATAAGCGATCCTTAACCGCCGCTGATTTACTGCGTTTTAGAGGAGAGTGCGCACGCGATAGGTTTTGCGCGAGCCAATTACAATCGGCCGGTGCCGCGTAATCTTAGTCATCGGTCAGCTGTACCGGGGGCCGAGCTGATCGATCGATCGATGGATCGAGAGAGGTGATCGAGAACGAGCCGCGCCGCGGAGAAACGCGGCGTCCTCGCCGGCAAGGTCGTGGCGACGATTTTGAAACACGCCTCGGACCTTTTGCTCTGCTCCTTTTTCAAACCCTCGCCTCTTTCGCTCGCGACCGGCCTCTCGTCGGTTGCCATTACTCTGGTTTAGGGAGCTCAGGATCCGAAATTGGAGTTTCTAGATATTTTGCGTGAAACGGGTGATTCGATTTAATTAAAGAGGGAACGCTTGTGTTAGCTGGTATTCTAATTTCTTTTCGGAGAAGTAGAATACGATATAGAGGGTTGTGTCTCTATTTTGAAAGAATAAGTCAACGTTATTTAATAATTGTAAAATCAAAAAATCTAAATCATCTATTGATCATTATTGTGATAGTAATGTGTAGCCTTTCATATATTCGTTCATGAATTCAGTTAACGAAATTTATCATTAAAATTAAAAATAATCTTAATTTGTACGAAACTCTATGAATATGTAGAATACAATATATATTACATCATAATGTTTTGTATTAATATTTTTCTTTTTTTAAATATCTTATTCATTGTATTCTACGTATTACACAAAGTTTTAACAGAAATAGAATAAAATGTCTTGTACGAGAATATATGACTGACCGTACAACTATCATCTCGTCTTCGATATCTCGACAGTAATTTCATAGCTTGAATCTATCCGATCCTCGGGACCATCTCAAATCGAATCAACACAAAACATCATCGACTTTCGAGCGATCGTGGTAGACAGCACATGTCCAAGAAAAATATTCATAAATCAAGCTCACAACGCCTTCCGTGTCACCGTTCACCGCGTTGGTCAAACGAGACGCGGAAGATCGATGATCGAGAAGACCCCTAGAAGAAGCATCCTAGAAAGTCCACGACATCCTGACCGAGAATCGTTACCGTGCTTTATGTTCGATTTCGTCGCTTGTTCGTCGTGGCCGAGCAAGAAATCGACCGATTTAATGGAAACGCATTCCCACGCACCAACCTCTCCTGCGTGCCTCTTCACCCTCCTTTTCTCTCTTCGATGCGTTCGCAGTACAATGTGGAAGTTTTTTATCGACGGTGCACGATATCCGCGATTTATTCCAAGATAATTATCGTACGTCTGAGAAAACTTCTTTTTCTCAGCGAATTGCATACATGTTTTCAAACGCCCGGCGCTTATTCAAATCGTCGGTAAACATATGTATAACAATACCTGTTGTGTTCCTAGTGTAAACAATCTTTAAACGGCGATAGCTTCGGTACGCGCTTGAACGAGTCTTTTATTCGATCGTAAAAAATCTTATCAATCGATGCTTTTGATGAGATGATTATTCGAGGGAAAAGAATAAATAACATCTCGAACACAGAGCCTAAATAACATATTGCGTGGACTGACGTAATGGTTAGGATGATCCATGTTAGCCTGAATCCTTGGCTTGGATCGTCGGCTGGAAACTCAATTGCGTTCTCACGATTGTCTCCTCTACGTTTGGCAGTCGAAACGAGGCCTAACAACTGCGTTTCACCGGCTGTAAACGATAATCATCGCGTTTCGTCTTGGTCAGAAGGAAATCGTAAATCGTTCGGGCTCGAACTTTGAGATCATTATTCTTTTGTTCGATCTTTTGCTCGAATTCTACATTCGATAATATAGATTTTTATAATAATAATAATAACGTGGATAAAATTCGCGTGTAATAAAATAACTGGACGGAGATACAAATCCATTGGAATGATTATTAGAGAAATATTCGCGCGAAAGATTCTTGAAATGCCCTTTGAAACATCGTTCGCGAGAAGAGTCGTCAAATCCATCTCGAAGTCAACGATTTCTCGGACTTCGTAATCGAGATAGTTGGCAGTGGTAAACGACGCAAAACTACGTCGTAGAATAACGAACGAGCGTGGCTACCTGTTACAACTTGTACAGATGTATGACTTTCAACAACCGAATCGCACTAATGTCGACGCTATGAGTTATAATACATAGTACAATATGTCAATGATGGCAATTAATTATACTTGTCACGATTTTATTTTAGATATTTATATTGGAAATTGATTCACTGATTCATAGTTACTAAACGGAAAAATATGTATACACGTATAGAAAACTAAGAAAAATTTACGATAAATATAGTTAGGTTATGTTAAAAGAAAGATCGAATAACTTTATATATAAATACATAATTCTATAACTCTTCTATAATTGAATCATCTCAATTCTACGCCATTTCGTTAAATATTTCAATCAGTGAATGAATTCTACCAAAAAATCCTCTGATCGCGTTGATTTTTCGATCATTTCGACGAAACAAATATACGACGTCATGGTATTCAGACGTACGCATAACCTAACCTATTCTAAATCACACAAAAGTATCAAAATATGAATGTTCATAACTTTCGTATTATGAACCTATGAAATTCTTAAATCGAGTATGTATTTATCGTTCATATGCATTCATCGAGTATCAGAAAATATAAATAATACCTCAAAATGAAGTGCAATCATCTTCATGTCAATTTCAATCCATTGGAAAATCTCGAGCAGCGAGGGATCGTGGACGGAAACAGGATGCTGCGTTGTATGGTGCGTAGCTCGAAATAAATTGTGACCAACTTTAAAGGGGCAAGCTTGTGGCTTCGAACGTCCCTTTCGAATTGCTCGGTCCAAGGATCTGTTGCACGTTTTCCAAAGCCGTCGGCCACGCACAGGCACAAGAGAGCCGCTGATCAATAGCTATTGGTCGGCGGGGAGCCGTCGTGTCGCCGGCGCGGTGGCGATGTCGTCAATTTTTTTATTACGAGCTGGACACACGCACGCAGCGCGCATGTGCACACGCATGCGCGTACCTTGGCTGTACTGTGAAGCACAGCGTGAAGGAAGAAGATAGAAAAGGGAGAAAGAGAACGAGCGAGAGAGAGAGAGAGAGAGAGAGAACCGATGCGCGCGCATGCGATCGCATTAGATTTCACGGGTCGCGGGATATCCTCGGTCGCGTCGGTTGCTATCCTTCCTTTAATTGGTCCAGGCCATGTCCGAGTCCGAGGTAATTGCCACTGTATTTTAGCATTCGATGGTTCTTGCCCAGAGCGTAACATCGGTTTCTGAAATTCCGTTGCCGCAGTGATTTTACGCGGATGGCAACCTCCAACCGGGTACCGTTCGTTCGGTGGAAATCGTGTCGGGTGACGTTTACGGTCGCTGACTGACATGCGATTTCTTTCTGTTCGATTTATTGGAGAAACGAGTGTATGTATGGTTTCGGATGTATGGAAAAACGTACGGTGCCGTTTAACGTCCGTTTCTTATCCCTTGAATATCCCCTGATGGTTTCTGGTGAGTTTTTGTTTATGTAACATCGTTTCATATAATTTAATCCACTACTACACACAATCTTTCGAAAATTACCGTATACGAAATATAATTATAGACGAAATTATATTAGATCAAACATGTCAAATAACGAGACGTGTTAGGACAATCATCGTCATCAGTTATCTAAGATCAATCGCGGTCAATAAAATGCTCGTGACCAAATATCTCCGAATGGAAAATCCATTCACCGTTTATAAAATTCAAATACGTGCGTACGTAGAAAGCAACGATTACGGTCAACGTCGACCTATCGCGACCCGAGGCGGCTTCTTAACCTCTAAATTCCCTCCACAGAAATGCAACCGCGAACTCTCGGTCGCGATTGTTTATCAAGAATCGTATTCGCGCGACATTCTATTGCAGCAAAAGCTAGGCCAAGATCTGGTCGCGTTCCTCATCACCGGCATCTCTCTGTTCCGGCAAAGTCACCTTTTAACGAGCGGGCGTATACCTCTGGAGAGATACCCGCGGCCTCCCGCTCGTCCTCTTTCTTCTTGGGGAACAATAGGCCCCGGCAGGGGAGTTAATCTACATACGCAAATTCCAACGATAGATCTTGAGCGGCGAGAGAGAAGGCGGCTGCGTATTGCCGGACGTACACGCGTATGTCTTCAACAATGGGCCTACCCCTTCGGCTGGCCCTGGCCGGGGGCATCCCTGAAGGAAGGACAATAAGCTCCGCTTGATAGTTATTGTGGTGCCTAGTCCACCTCGCGTCTCTCCCACCGCGAAAGAAGGAAGAAGAGCGGAGGCCTCGTCCCGGTGAATAAAAGTCACCGGACGCCCTCGAAGCGAAAGGCACGCGTTACTGTTTTTCCTAAATGATTGCCCCGACGCGCGTGTAATTTAAGCGGGCTTAACTAGGGGGCCAGGCTGATCGGGAAATAATTCCTCGAGATGTCCACCGTGGAAATATTTATTGCCGCGGCGAGGTTAACGCCTCGAAACGGAAGGTAAGCCAATGGAGGAACGAGTTATTTGCGTTATCGATGCAAAGTAACTTCTTCGTGCGTCTACTATTTCAACTAACGTATCCACGTCCTGTCCAGGATGCTTGGTATCCGATCGACAAAGAAACTGGCGAAAGCCAGTTAGACTTCCTCTTATTAGTAACCAGTAACTGCTCTGTTCCTTCGATCCAAAGATATCCAACTTTTTCTTCTTATCCGATTTTTCCCCTCCTGCTTGCATTGCGAATCACAGTTTACCGATAATCATCCGAGCATATTCAAATAATCCATGAAAAGTTCCCAAGTTCTCCCTGTTCCGTTAAACGAAAAAATACTGCTACGAAACGTGGTGGCGTTTCCCAGACCCCGTGTCGGCACACGTGGCGGAAGGGCAATCTTTTTTTTCGAGGCGGGTGCGTAACGGAAACGGAGGATCGCTTTTCCGCTCGACGGGGATGGCACGACGACCTTTGAGGTCGATGCACCTCGGTTGACTCGGCGTCAAAACAAGACACGGTCGATAGGACGTGTCGGGTGCGCTTCTCGTCCGCGCCGGGAAAGGTTCCCACCGTCTAGTCGCCCCTCTTCGCTCCGTCCGCCTCGGACGCTAGCGCTTTTCTCCGCAAGCGTCTCCTTTCTTCCCGCGTGCACCGATTCCTGGAAGCTCGCGAAGGCGCAGCGCTGTCTGGCCGAGCCGGGGCCGCTCGTCTGCTCTGCACCGAGCCACAAATACCTACAACGCTTGGAATGAGAACCAGCGCGAGAGGCCAGGAGCGAGACGAGGAGGAGCAGGAGGAGGAGGAGGAGGAGGAGGAGGTGGAAGAAGAAGAAGAAGAAGAAGAAGAAGCGCAGCAACGGCAAAAGAGCAGAAGGAGGAGGAGGAATAAGGATCGGAGAGAGGAGGGGGAGAAGGATGGCGAGGTGGCTGAAGCGGCAGGGAGCAGGGAACGAGTAAAACCAGGCTGGCTCACCCGACTACCTTGCCCAGTAGAGATGCCTACGGTATAAAAGCCACGGAGAGAGAAGAGCCGCTTCTAAGTAGCTACGTGATCAGCGATAATAACGCGACTTGGAAACGTGGAAGATCGTTCCTCTTCGCCCTCCCCCTTTTTCTATCGGCGACGCGTATACAGGCTTATATTGTCGGTCGTTTGGGTTACTGCCGCGCAATCCACTCGTGGTGGATCCCGCCGCGCGGCTTTCCACCGGGTTTAGGTAGCCTCTGGACACGCGGCTCCCTTCTCTCTCTCTCTCTCTCTCTCTTTCTCTCTCGGTTCCCGGAAACAGGGGAGGTAACGGCCGCTACCGTCCACCTGTTCTTCTTCTTCGACGTCGATCGCGCTCCACGATTCGTTTGCGATATGGTACCCGGCTAAGCGTTCGATACGCGTACCATCGACCCGCGGCCCGTTCTTGCGCCGCTCTCCCTCGGGAACCGTAGCCTGTCCCCGTGATTTTTACGGCTCTGATCGTGGGACAGCGATTATTGATCAATTGATACAGAAATAACTCGTTGCTCCAATTTATATTTCCAATCCGGACACACGATTGAATCGATTTATTCGAATTATTCAGTTATTATCATCAATGGATTTCTATCTCTGGTTGTTCGTGACCAGGAATATATATATCGATATCTCTCGTCCCTGCAATCGAAACACTCTTCTCGATTAACCGGATAGAATCTTAAAACTCGATTAATCGCGACAAAGGTCGAAGAAAGCGCTGGTGGCACGGGGGTTCAGAGGTGATCAGAGTTGAAAACGATGCAACGTAATGGCGCGCGATTTGAAAGGAACTCTTTCGGAACCTCCTTCCTTCTCCTCGCCTTGAATTATTTACGAATAGATTTATTCGCGTCATTCGTTTTCGTCACCGGCGTTTAATAGGCGCGCACCTGCACCCTCTTATAACTCGTTTTGGAGTACTGACAGATGAATTATTCCCCTGAAGATCGGGTTGGTCGATTTTTCTTGGCGGCCGCTTAACGTTAACGGCGAGAACGCGTGCGCGGACGAGACGCGTTTAATATCGTAGACGGGATGAGAGATATCGAGACTCGCATATTAATTCGGACGAATGCGCGACACTTTTAGACGAATCGTGCTCCTACTACCTTACCCATTGCTTCCTTAATGGGCCAACCTGGAAGCTTCACCAATCTCGCGACGGGGTGCTCGCTGATCGCATCTTGGATGCTCGCGTGTGCAACTATCAACTATCTTCTCTTCGTACATTAAAGTTCTACCTCTTACGCGTCGTGTCTCTTCCCGTTCTTCTCCTCTTTCTTCCCTGAATCTGAAATGAAATTCTGAGATTTTTTTTTTCACGCTAAAGAAGACAAGTCGTGTATTTCATTTACGAGGTTACTAATAAAAAATCAACTCGATCGATCGAAAATTTATCGATCAATTTAAATTAATGTAATTATATAACTTCGAACTAATAATATATATACTTTTGCTTCTTAGGATAAATTTTCCTTCGTCGATTCATTTTTTAAAAACGTCGTTATATCCCCGTATAAATATACATCCGTCTCGTACATACGCAAATTTGTACGCAAATCTGCAACGTGTCGCGTAATATTCGCTGAACAAACTATTAGTGAACGCATTATGTTGGTTTCGAGCAAAATCCAGAGATGATTTACTCCGGTAAGGAAAGGCAATTCGGTGGCGATGGTGTCCCCGCTAATGATATAGTGGTTAATTGGCCTCATTCTTCATCCCGTTAACCTCGCACCGGAACGAAAGCGCGAAAATAGAAATTACGGCCCGCGGCTTTTCGCGCCGCCACTTCCTCAAAGCGCGGAATAATTAGACCGAACGGGATGCTAATTTGTTTCCACGAAACTCGTGCTCGTCTTTCGCGTAACAAATGCATGATTCGTTTTCGGGACGCTGGCTCGAATCTTAATTAGACCCGACGCTCCTTCTTTTTCGCGCGGCTGAATTTATTCCTCGGTAAATCATTCGCTCCGCTCCCCGGAGCGGCCAAGTGGAATCCTGGAAAAGGGGAATTCTCCACCACGAAATTCCCTTTTTCTTCTCGTTTCGAAGAATTAATCTCATTCCGTGCGAGTCGTGATTTAATTCAACGTTGAGAGATTTGAATTTGAGAGTTTTCTTAATCTCGCGTCACGAGTTGTTTTTTGTTCAATTCAATCTAATAGTAAGTGATTTCGTTTTATAAATATTAACGATCCTATTTATTCTTCTAATCTCGAGATTACCTGCCGACGATTTAGTGCGATGAGAACAAACTTTCCATATTAGGTAGTTTCGAAACACAGGATTCTTAGATATTCAACTACTTTTTTTGGTATAGATTTAATTAATTTTGTTAATCGATTCGGGTGACGCGATCAGCGATGCTGTCATGAATTCTTCCAAGAAATGGAACCTACGGAAAATTGCACAGCCATTTCGAATTCCATTACCGTCATTCCTCTCCTCCACTCATCGAAAACCAACAAGAACCCTTTTCAACATCATATATATATATATATATATATAAACGTATCGAGCAGTCGACCATACCCGAATTTTAATTTCCCGTCCAAATTCGAATTTCCAAAGGAGATTAAAAATTTCTTCCCTCCTTCTCGAATCAAATTCCCCCTTGTAACGAGAGAAATTGGCGCGTTTCCACGCGACCACGACGCGGACAACAATGTCCGTGGCATTCCTCACTGTTGGAGGGACAGGAATCCGTTGACAGGAATCCAGGTCCTGGCGGATCGAGCGGCGATATCGGTTCCCCGTCCGGTATTTCCAGCTCTATCGAGAGAGAAAGAGGCGACTCTGACTTAGAGGCGTACAGCGTGTCCCGATACACACAATAGGGGCGGCGATCGTTTGTATCGTGGGTCTGACCGGTCCCGGGAATAATCTAACCGCGCGTGTTGCCGATTTAAGCCGCGATTTTGCTCGTTCCGTCCGAGCGGAGTCCCGGGATTCCAGGAGCATCCATCAGGCCTCGTCAAACCAGCCGACGACGCATCAGTGG